ATAGATAGATAGATAGATAGATAGATAGATAGATAGATAGATAGATAGATAGATAGATATTGGTCTGAAATGAGTTTTATGTCTTTACTCTTCCATTAATCTTCATACATTTTAATCTGTGTTTAATCCTTTAAGCAGCTCAAAGCATTGGGTAGTACAATTGCATTTCTTCACAATCCTTCAAATTATTTAAACTGGTAACAAAACATTAAGCACATTTCTCCCTCTGACCTTGACCTCTGAAATCCCCTATGATCAGGTTTTTATGATGAGCTCCTCTATGATGTCTCTGATATTTAGACAATATTGCCCTGAAATGAATTTCAAACTTACTGGTCTCGTCTGAACTGGGATATTTGTGGATATCATCCTGTTAGCTACTCAGGTCAAATTTATAGGAATGGAGATCAGATCAACTTGTGCCCACTTTGTTCTCATTATACTTCATAATCAGTCGAGGCTTTTTTTTTTTACCAAGTAGTGTTTCACGTGTATGAGGGATTTGCTTTCATGCACACATTTAAACACACAGCTGACATTAATCTTATTGAAGATATATAATTTGAACAAGAAAAATGCAAGTTGTTTACGAATGTTAGGATATGGGAAAAACTGGACATTTTGCAGAAATTAAACTTTTTGCAGATATATAAAATATACAACAATACACCTGTTCTGATCTCAGAAGTTAGAGAAAACTAGTAAACCATCTACATCATGAAGACAGTGAACTACAAAGACATGGGAGCGTTTAAAGCTGAATGTGTTGGTGGGGGCCTTAAAGGGGCGTGTTTCTATTGTATCCCCCTGTCTATATTTGCTTTATTGAAACTGCATGTCGAGGAGGATAATGCTTGGCAGAACAGGATTAGTATCTCTATCTGTTGTTTTCGCCTAAATGCCTTGTTAAAACAGTCACAATAGACAAAATGTTGGCTGTAGTTGCAGGTGCACTTTTAATATGAGTAAGAACCAAGAAAGTTGAACTCACACAGGTTTAGGTATTAAACAAATTCAATTTCCTAATGCCATCATCCAAGGGCTTAAAGAGTATGGCTTAATTATAACCCTAAAACAGAAAGACATGACTGTTCACCTAAATGACAAGCTAACGGTGGGTAAAAATCAGAGGAGCAGCCATTAAGGCCATAGTTGAAATAGGGGAGAATTCCGAAGGAAGGTTCTGTTGATAGGGTAACTATTGATTATGCAGGGAACTAATAAAGCCCTGCATAATATATGCTAATAATAGTCATTCATCCCTGCTGCCACCAGACTCTACAATGCTACACAACGGCAATAACTTGTGCAATAACTAATGTGCAATTACTATTTGATACCCTGTGCAATAACCTGTTTCTCTATATTTTACACCCAGTGCAATAACTATATATATCTTTTCCCTATCCATAATTGTTTTTTTTGTTCTCTGTTTTTATGTTCCTGTATCTGTATTTTGTATTTTCATCTCTTTTTATTTATTTTTTTTGTATTATTTGTAAAGTGACCTTGAGTGTCAAGAAAGGCGCTGTTAAATAAAATGTATTATTATTATTATTATTATAAATATCCATCTATATAAATACCCATGTAAACGATCTGTGCAATAACTCTCTATAATAATAATTAATAAAAAAAGAAAAGCTGTGTCATGTAGAGGCACTGTATATATTGTATATAAATCCCATGCACCTTTTTTCTTTCTTTGGCACATTCTTTTTCTCTCTTGACTATTTGAGCTGATGGAACAAGCACATTTCTGTGAGATAAATAAAGTCAATCAATCAATCAATCAATCAATCAATCAATCAATCAATCAATCAATCAATCAATCAATCAATGATATATAGAGTGATAACTGTTGAAAAAAGCCTAAACAAAGTCTATTTTTCAGTTTATGACCAGCTGTAAATGGGTAAAAGTAGTAACTTTGAAACTGCATCAGATAGATGATACAGATATGAGATGGTGTGTGTATGGAATACATCCCATCTGTTAAAAAATGGGTTTTAGACTGGAGATTAGGAAGATTTTCACTAAGGCAATAACATACAGCCAGCTCTACAGTGTAATTATTGTGATCAAACTATACGCATGTTATGGATAAAACTGCCAATCCAGTCAAGCCTTAAATTTGAATTAAATACCATGTAGAAACTGATGGTTACATTATTCTTACTCCCTTCCAATATTTAATGATACATTCTTAAGAGAGCATTAAATGTGTTATTTAAGGGGTTAAAACACTCCTCTAATCCGTTTAACCAAGAACATTTTGTTAAAGAATCCACAACATGCTCAAGGCGAAAAACCGAAAGGCTCAAAATCTGAAAATGTAAATAAAGGCCATCTGCTTCTATACGTAATCACCGTTCTGCCTCCTCCTATCAGGACGTCTCTAATCACTCCCCCCGCCCCTTTCACCAAATCCCTCCGCTTTGATTGGTCAAATCCGTAGGCCGGCCCACGTCAACGTGCCTCTGTCCCCTCCTTCCGGGATGTTGTACTGCCCACAGGCTCGAGGACAAAAACAATTGGCATCCCTCTGACAGCGCAGTAAAAACAAGGAGATCCAGACCAATTTGGGGAAAACAGTTAGATATCTTTAAACCGTCTTTAACCGACACGACAGCGAAGAGGGAGAAATGGTGTCTCCGTCAACAGTAGTGAGTATCAACGTCTAAACCGGCATCTAAACAGTCACGTACGGACAAGAAAAGCAGGCTCAGTTTAGCTAGTTATATTCCACATTAAAATATCTCAGTTATAAATGATAAACAATCGAATGGCCGAGCTATATGCGTGTTTTGTTGGCATTTAACGCCTCCTACATTTCTTAAAAGCCAGCGCGTGCATTCTAGTTGATTGTTTTTAACCGCCAGAACAACAAAAACATGGAGCGATTCATAATCCATCTAAATATCTTTATTTTTGCTATGTAGCGACATAGCAAAGTAACTTTTTTTCCTTCTGTTGACTCGTTTCCTTTTGCCTTAGGCACTGCAGCGGCTTGTTTGTTCATCTTTGCTCCAAACGTTTATGTAAAATGCCAATGCAAAAAAAGAAAGAAAGCGTTAGATCATGTGACTGAGTGGAGCCTTTCTTTGCCTTATTTTCTTTCCTGTGTTCTTCATTAAACGCATGCGCCAAGGCTTTTCTCTCATCTCTTTTATTGAGCTCGGCTTTATGTGTTCTCCAGTGCCGAATAGCTTCATTTAGAGAAAAAACAAGGAGCTGTCATTCTCCTGAAATCAGCCTCCCCTTTGTGAGGGGATGGGGGGGGCTTTGGATGATGGTGAGGGGTGTGTTGGCCTGAGGTGAACCCTGATGTGGTGCCTGTAGAGGAGCCTGTGTAGAGGAATGTCTGCAAACCAGACCAGTTCCCTAAGTGATAAGGATGCTGTGAAGGTCTGGAGTTTCCCTTTAGAGCAATTTTAATGGCATCTGCTTCCACTGAGCAATGAACTGCAGTTCTCCCATCATTACATTACATTAGAGGGGAAACAGGCAATGGTGTCAAAAGTACACACATTTGTTACCGTACTTAAGTAGAACTATAGATACTGCTGTTTAAAAACACTCTGGTAAAAGTTGAAATATCAAATTGACCTGTCTACTCAAGTAAAAGTGAAAAAGTATGTGCTCCAAAACCTGCTGAAAGTATGAAAGTATAAAGTAACCTTTAAAAAAAGCTAAATTTTTCGACTATTTCGAAAAATTCTTTGAGATAGGGCCAAGGATGCGGGGGTCTTGTGGGTCTCCATCTACCGATACGCTCTCGCCTGTGTACGACCTTTTGGAATTTTTAACATCTTTTTCTGAATCCAACATTGTAGCATGGCATAGACAATTCACGTTTGCAGTTTGAAGAACACCTGCTTGCTTCTGATGATTTCCTTTAGCTAACCAATGAGTGTTTGCGTTATATGACTCATCTAATTACATGAGTTTTCACTAGATGTGGATGGAGCCAATGATCTGCATTGGATGGCGCACATGACAACAAAAGGCGAACATAAAGCCGAAGCCAAGAGTAACCAGTAAAAAATGTAAGGAATAGAAAGTACAGATACTTGTGTGAAAATGTAATGAGTAGAAGTCAGAAGTAGGGAGAAAAATAAGTAATGGAGTAAAGTAGATACCTAAAAAGTGTACTTAAGTACAGTAATGAAGTATTTGTACTTCGTTACCTGACACCTGGAAACAGGCTGTAATTTCAGAATAGAATGAAAATTTATTGTCATTACCTTGTCAAGTACAAAACAACTACATCCCCCCTCTGCATTTTAACCCATCCCCTTGGGGAGCAGTGGGCTGCCATTGTGCGGCCCCCGGGGAGCAGTGTGGGGTTAAGGGTCTCACTCAGGAACCCAGAGAGCAGGCTGTGGGGATTTAACCGGGTACTTTCAACCTTCTCAGAGCACTGCTCTAACCACTAGACAGACACTCCTCCCAATATAACCACTAAATTACTTATTTCTAGTAGATATTTTACACTACTGACTAATTAACTTCTGTCATTTGAGGTTAATCCTTTCAGACTGTAGAATATTCTAGATCACTGCATTTTAAATATGTATTATACTAATTTAGAATATAACAAGTCGGTGAGTTCACTTTCTGTAGCGTTTTGCAAACTTCTTGAACTTGATTTATATAATTGCTTTTTTCAATGATAAAGAAACTAGGGCTGAGACAATTAATCGAATTAATAGTGTTTAATCGATTTTTGAAATAATCTACAACTAATTTAGTTATCAATTAATCGTTAACTGGAGTATAGAGACTCTAAAATATGCCTTTAGCTGACAGAGCAAAATTGTAAAAAAATATACATATAACATTTGACATTTATGATAAAGAATACTTTTTTGTCGGTTAATATGGTATATCCAGAATTCCTCAAGTGGAAAATTAAAAAAAAAAGTTTTAACAGGTTTAATTTAGTCAAAAGTCTTCTTTAAGGAACCTTTTGCTATCTGATTATCAATCGATTAATCGAAAAATTGACAGATTTGCAAAATAATCATTAATGGTAGCCCTAAAAGTGACATAAAAAGTTGATAATTTTGAAGTGGAAGGATAATGATCCATGTTTTCTCTGGTCTTTATCTTTAGCACATTTTGCCAAGTTATGCCTTTCACCTCTGCCTGTGTTATCAGCTTCGGACATCTGGGAATCTGGCAAAAAGTGCTCAAGGGTGCTTCTAAAAAAAATATCTTCAAGTTTTATAACAAATTCTCAATTAAATCAATCTTGGGT